AAGACTAAGTATGGGCTGCCTTCATCGCAACTGCTGCTCTTAGCAACCTTAAATATGTCAAAAATATGAAGACCAGGTTGGTGTGGCCTTTTTTATGGTCTCTTTTCGTTGTATAGAAGTTGTTTGAGCTTTTTTTCGCAACTTGATCATATTTGCAGGAAGGCCTAGAGGAACGCTACTAGGCCTCTTTCAAATGATATCTTAAGGTCCGATCCATGCAACATTTTGACATTTAAATACAAAAAATATGAACGAATCTTTTAGACAATGATTATACATAAACTTTAGTAGTTATTGAATGTTCATATTTTATAACTTTCCAGTTTGCTTTTTCCCGATAATTGATTTTGTGTTGAGTTCCACGAAGAAACTTTATATTTAAGCATTAAAAATATCTCTTTCTTTTGATATATTCACTTATTTTTTGCCTCAAAAGAACCGCGCTGAGTTTGTGTAGTTTGCGCTTATTGCTAATAGGCGTGATTGAACTACTACCCTTGGCAACAAAGCAATACGTTTTTTCGTTAAAAAATTTACTTCCTCTTTTTTTGTCTAGTTCCTTCATTTATTGTAAGAAATTAACTTGAGCTGGCTCCAGTCAGTGGTGCAACATTTATCGGGTAGTTGGGGAGTGACAAAGGCCTGGTGGAGTCTACGAACCTTGGCTGATAAACACAATACGAATAGTATTTGTGTTCAAAATGTTGTTTACTTCTTTAAGCACCCTTGTCAGCCTTTTAAATTTGTGCTGGCCTCTTCATTAAACTCGCTAGCTTTGACTATTCAGCCCGCATTCGAATGGTAGGCTTCCTACGAATTTATTCTCTCTTGAATCGCTCGTGGCTGGTCTTTAGTTGAATTCTTCTCTTTTCATAATAAGCAGCAACATTTCATTCAAATCAGTCTTATAGACGTCAAGACCGACGATTATTAGATTTTTGTCTGAATGTGAATGCACGTCTGGGTTTATTTTTACGAATATATATGTGTATGTGCATCTTTTTCGGGTTTGCTTCAATTAGTCACCAGCAATCCACGATGACCGAGCCCCTTCTGCGTATTCGAGTCATTTGGTATGACCAGCATTCTTCTTTGACCCTAGGTCATTCACCGTATTACTTACTCGAGCCTGCAGTCTATCACTATCTTTATAGTGCTCATAATGAGCCTCCACCCCCCCTCACAACCACCAGCTCCTTATTCGATTCGCACCCTAAAAGTCTGACTGAACCTCTAAATCTTGTATCAACACGAACTAGTCCCTTGCCAACGAAGTTTATTATCTATTCACTTGAGTATTTTTGCACACTCCTCCCTATCCCTCCATTCTCTTCCCTCAAACACGCCTCACCTCATTAGCCGAGAGACATTGTCTCAAGCGACTTGATCTACTCCTATACCATTCCCTGTTATGGTTGTGTTTATACTCGTTTCTTTCAGCGAGCTTATACACGTGTTTGTATCCATGTCTTACTGTGGCATCCTTTCGGAGGTCATGCTGGTTGCGAGCATGACATAATGATAGATTAACTGTGAACTAGCTTGAACGGAATAATTAATTTCGCTAACTTATCAGTCGATTTGCAGAGTACTAAGTGATTTATTTTTGAATTAAGAACTCAGCTGGCAATTAAAGTACTATCCTCGTGCCAGGCTCCTCCCATCTGAGTTGCCTCTATTGAAGTACCGAGGGTCATCACCTCTTTTCAACTATAAGCCTACGGTCCCGTTTCGTTGATTTCTCTATGTTATTTCATAATTGTTTTACTCCGTTTTACTCAAATTCAACTTAGATGACTCAGATTCTGCACACCTGTCCCATTATATATATATATATATTTCTTGATTACTTTCTTTTAGGATCTCATGCATATTTCATCTTGCCTTACATTTCTGAAGGTTCCATAATTATAAAAAGTATTATTGCTATGGTTTTAGGCTGGCCTATATATCGTCTTCTGCTTGTTAGACTATGGTAACACATTTTGCCCAGTGTTTTAGTATATTTGTTGTTTGGTTTTATTGTGGCCAGCTCCCAGCAGTCAAGTCTGGCTCTTTTATACAGCCAATAAATTGGTTTACAAAAAGGCGCATAAATTAATTTGTTCCTCATTTTTACAAGCAAATTTTCTTTTTCATTCATTCCTTAAAGCTTTGGCTCTCATATCAACTTTTGACCTTCCGTTTGCACCCATTTTTTACCTGCTTGGTCGGTTTACTTCGTTAGATCATGAATAAAGACGCTGATGGTATTGAACGTCTTTTGTTTCCTCTCACATGAAAATTTACTGGCTCAACGCCTTTTCCGTTCAAGCGGATTATTTTAAACCACATTGCAACAATTCACCTTTACAGCACTAACCGCATTAGTCCTTTCACGTGCCTAGCTCATTATTGGTGAACCACATCCGCTATTTGATCAGTTAATGATGTCTCGAATTAGCTTTAGTGGTGCTAGACATGATTTTATTTTATACACAACATGATTTTAGTTTCCCCACTGTCTTAATAGGCCTTAACTTGAGAAAAATATCATCGCTTTTCGATAAAATCGATCAAGTTTTGCATCCTTTGTGCTTCTCTTGAGCCGCCTTTCAGGTGAAGCGATTCGGACCATGTCTGAATAGGCTGAATCAGTAATTAGGGGCGCATTTTTGGCGCTCCGTAATTCGAAAAACAATCAATCTGAGGAATTCAGCGCTTTGAGACCTGTTCAAGGTGTCGTAATCACATTCGGGGCAAACGCACCTAAATAAACTCAGACGAGTAAAATTCCGTGCACAATGAATACATAAGCGTGGATCAGCATGCAAACACATATCTATCCTCAATCGCAAAAAATGCTAGAAATTGAGATCAGTTCTATCAGCTTTTGAACGCCAAATTTATTTGTGACACCTTCATTTAGTCCCAAAATAAAATATACTAATAGACCTTCTCGCAGAGTCAGATTAAATTGTTGAGCTCAAATTTGGGAATAGGCTTACTTCTGGGAGAAGTTCCTTTTATCGATCTGTGTAACTTGTCTTCTCGAGGCGGAATTGACGAACTTTATCTTTGAATTGGATTTAGGACAAGACCAGAGAGCACTTGTCCGAAAAATGATCTTTGTATTCAGGTGTGCGCTATGAAGATGTGAGATGCAATATTATCAAAATAAGGTGCCGTTAGATTTTTTAATTCCTCTTAAACTCCTATCGTAAGCTCTTCTAAGTAAGATTTATTCTTAGATCAGAAACCTCTTAATATACCGTAATTTTGGTTTATTTTCCCTTTATGAATCCCATGATATAGTTTTGACAAAACTTATGTGCAAGAATTTGCTTATTTCTTTATCTTTATGCAGCTGAATCTAATGTTGGAACACTTTTATATCTGCTATCTTTAGAATTAATAGTGACACTACCGTCGATTATTGTGTATTCGGCCCCTTTTTTCCTTCATCTTTTTTGGCAAGCGTTTAATTTTATCTTCTTTTGTACTATAAAATCTGATTTAATCCCGATATACTTTATTTATTATGCTTCCAAATGCACAATGATCTTTTATTCGAACCACATCATATCAATTTGCATCACTCCTTTAGCTAACTTGATTCATTCCACGGCAAAGGAATTGAGTCACGTGCTTAATCGCTTGAATATGATCGAAACAGCTCATTTGGTTAGATTCCCAAAGCAACATTCCTTGAATCCAAGAGTCCTAACTTTTTTTCGGGTTATATATATGCTTGAAATGCATGATACTATAAGTCTTAGAGACCCTGAAGACCAATTATATAATATTTTTCGCTTATAAGTAGGTTTTCAAGACTAAAAGTAGACCATATATATGAGTTGTATTCATGCTACTCTGTTTAAAAAAAAGGACTGGCAGTTGAATTTTCCCACAATGATATGAATAGGCCCTTTGTTTCCATTGAATTTGACTTAGCCTTATTTCCCCAAGGCTATTATTTTCCAAGCAGCCCTTCCATCCGAACTCGAACCTGCGTAGTACAGCGAATAATCTCTATACGTTATCCATTACGCCACTTTGTCACGAGGGCCCTTGGTCAAGAAGGCAGATGTGTATTTAAAGGAAGTCGATACATTTTTTTCATATTACATTCTGTGGTGAGATTGTCGAGAAATCAAAGTTGTATTTGCTACATTAATCGACTACATTACCTATTTTTTTATTATATACTGGTAGTTTCAAAAATTACTTATAATCGAAAAAAGTAATGTAGCCGATTGCTATTGCAAATGCAACCTTGCTTATTCGGCTTTCCTATCGGATTACCTTAAATTTCACATAGTTATGTCTTACAAAAGGCTTTCTCACCTAGAGCGGAATGAAGTTTCGAACTTTTGGTCGCAACAGCATCCTCAGAAGATTAAAAATTAGGTTTTGATCATCGTGCAGCAACCTATTGCCGCTAGACTACACAGCCTAGCGTCACGGGGAAAATTCTCAGGGCACATTAGGCCTCCTGCAATTCACATTTATAATTGGAATAATTTGGACATTTCAACCTAATATTTACCTTTTAACTACAAGATATTAACATGTACAGAGTGATTTGAATTTGAAACCATCAGATGTTTTTATACTAGTTAGAGTCGCTTAAAGTTGCTTTATGCAACGGAAGGCCTGATAGTTAAATTTTTAGCCAGTTAGGGAGGAGAGGATTTCATATTGAAGCTTAATTTTGCTTAGCTTTTCCTTGCAGAAGGTTTTCTTGTACAGGTTGTATTGTTGATATGATCCAGGTGAGATCGAGCCTGATGTCGATCCTATATAAGAAACTCTTTTGGGAGGCAAGGCTAACAGAAGTTCGTGACATAATGACGTCCTTTATGCATTTATCTGTGGGGAACTAAACTGTCAGGTCTTTCAATACATGAAGCAACCGATAATGACTATATTTCTTATAAAAGCTATACTGATTGTTTCGGACCATACTTTATATATTACTATTTTTATTTGTAATCTGGGAGAAAATTTAGCAGGCCCAATCGTCTCTTTTAGAGGAGAGGCTCCAATCAAAAGAATAATCTAATATGATTAAGCCAAGCACAAATTAATCTGTGTATCATTGTATCAAATACTTACAGAACAAGTTCAATTGCCAATTCAAATCATGTGTAAAAAAGGGTTAAATCTAGCTTAAACTTAATAAAAGTTATGAAATTACATTGTGGATCTACTGGAGTTATTTTAATTATAGTCCTTATATTTCAATTTGTATGCCTTAACACAATCACCTTTAAAGGAAAAATCTTCCTTTTTTGCATTATTTGTTTTTGTTGTGGTGGTTTAAATACGTTTAGAATCTAATCATTGTATATATTTCTTCGTAATTCCCATACCACATTTTTGCTTATCCCTTGAATAGAACTCGGTGCGACACAATTTGTCGTTGAACAAATGCTTCGAAAAGGTTCCTCGTGAGAAAGGTGAACGCGGCAAGGGAGGCTTCTGGCGAGTCAATTCTAAACACGCTGACTGGCTCGAATCGAACTTAGCTAAGTGCCGGCGTGCTGCACCACCACCCGGACCACCTCCACCAATGTCGCGGTCTATGCTACTTCAACAGCAGCAGCAGCAGCAGCAACCTTCGCGTCCTCGTCCTAGCCAGCAGACAAGTTCTTACCTTCCTTTGGTCCAATTTTCTGAGAGTTATCATTCCTCTACGGCTGCTTCCGGTAACAGATGCATTGGCCCGAACAGCGCAAACGGTTTCGTTTCATCACCTTCATCCGCCAGCTCAACCTCTTCCTGCTCATCGGCTTCCACGTCCTTACTTACTCCTTCTTTAGCTACTCCTCCTAACTCATCTTCGTCATCTTCGTCATCTTCGTCTTCTGCTTCTATTGCATCCGCTTCTCCCTCCCCGGTTAGCATGACTGGAAACGCTGCTTGCCTCCTAGGTCTACTGCCCTCGTTGCCTTCCCCACGGCAGCGCAGTCTCCTGCTACAGAGTGACTCGGCAAGTTTGGATATATCCGTTTGGCCACAGAAGCGCACTTCAGCCATCGCGGCTGGGCTTCCATTACAAGTGGCATCGAGACACCGGCGCCGAAAAACTCCACTCTTTACACCTGATATGCCTGCTTGGCAAGGGCGGCGAGATTTTGATGAATACGAAGATGATCACGAAAGTCACAATGGTGATCTCCGTTCTCCCGCACTGCAGGCTTTTACTACTTCAGGCCATCATCTTTCAAGACAGCAGACTGCTGATCTGCGGACCGGAGATTTGGACCGTGGTGGTTTTTCCAAACTGCAACAGAGCATTAGCATAAACCTAGCGAACGGCTCAGGAAAATGGCGCCACCGAAACGTTGGGTCTGAGGTGAGTGCGAGAGTAGAGGAGCCGAGTCAAAGTGAGACTGGTGATGACTATTGCGGTGGCCCTGGTGATCCTAGTACTAATGATGAAGGTCTGATTGGTGGACGCCGACTGCGGCGCGTCCGTCGGCCAACCTGGAAGAAGGTTGAAGCAGCCGAATCAGAACGGATCTTTGCTGCCGTCGACGATGATGATGAACGCGTTTATTCTACCGATGTTGTAGGCCGGAAACGAGTGGAGAATGAGAAGACTTGCGAAGATAATGAAGGCAATATTGGTGAGCCAAACTTGGAGCATGTGCGAACTAAGGAGGAGGAAGATGGCGAAAATGATGACGATGATGAAAATAATGATAGAGGAGGAAGAAGGAAAGAAAGAGGCAATTTTGGATCGATGAATACAAGACGTCGTGTTTGTGAGCCTTTTTTTAACACTTCTAGGACGCGCTTAACAAGTGTGAACCGTCTTGATAGGCGCCAGCGTCTACCTCCCAATTGGCAAGCACCGGTCGTCTCAAGACGTTCTACTGAGCCTCTGGGAACCTTTTTGTCTTGTGGATATCGGCGCAGACGACAGGCAAAAGAGATAAGACAGTCACAAGAAGCCGTCCGAAATCGCAGAGGAATACGAGTGAGCTCAGAACTTTATGTTTATTTGATCTTTTTATAATCATAAGGTGACAATTCATTTGCGCTCTCTGGAAGACAAAGGCATGGCTGATTGAAGTTGATCTCCTCTTTTATTTTACATTTTTACAAAGACCATAAAGCCCCTTAATCTGCGCAAATATATCACTGAAGTATGGATACTTATATTATACATATCATATAACAAATTCACTGGTAGACTCGAAACCCTGCTTATAAAAAAAATATGAATAATTATCACTATCTTATTAGCGTTTTTACTAACTTGCAAATGTGTGTAGAGAAATAATTGCTTTTGATCTCTTTGGCGCTCCAATATCATATTATTGGACTTTATACGATAAAACGAAGCGAAGACTGATCTTCAACATTGAACTTCACTTTCTTACGAGATACTCTGTATCCAGGATTGTCTTATGCTTCAACTTTG